CAGTGGAGGGCGCCGCCATTTCCCTGCTCTGACCCCACCTCCACATACAGCGTCATAACCCAGCCACTCTGAGTGGCCCGGCCCTGGTGAACCACGTAAAGCTCTGCTCCTCACCCAGCGGCAGGAAACAGCAGAGGGTACCGCCATTTCCCCGCACTGACCATGCCCCCACATACAGCGTCACAACCCCGTGACCTGGGAGTCCAAGGCTCCGCTCCTCACACTTAAAGGGCTCGAACAGACCAAAAATGGCTCAAGAAGACCTCAAAGCCCCAGAGCCTATAAATCTAAGTTATGAAGAAATAGCAAAACTCTCAGACGCACAGTTTAAAACACTGGTTATCAGGATCCTCACAGAACTGGTTGATTATAGCCACAAATTAGACAAATATATGAAGGCGAAACTAATTGAAATGAATGGAATTGCACAGGACACCAATAGCAATGAAAGGAAACTGGGACTCAAATCAAAGGAGTGGACCGGAAGGAAGAAAAAAATGACCAAACAGAAAAGGATGAAGAAACAAGAATTCAAAGAAATGAGGAGAGTCTTAGGAACCTCCAGGACATCTTTAAACGCTCCAACATCCAAATTATAGGGGTACCAGAAGGGGGAAAGGCACAGCCACCAGTGGAAAACTTATTTGAACAAATAATAAAGGAGAATTTCCCCAATCTGGCAAAGAAAATAGACTTCCAGGAAATCCAGGAAGCTCAGAGAGTCCCAAAGAAGTTGGACCCAAGAAGGAACACACCAAGGCACATCATAATTACATTAGCCAAAAATTAAAATGAAGGAGAGAATCCTAGAAGCAGCAAGAGCTGAGGGGACAGTCACCTACAAAGGAGTCCCCATCAGACTGTCAGCAGATTTCTCAAAAGAGACCTTACAGGCAAGAAGGGGCTGGAAAGAGGTATTCCAAGTCATGAAAACCAAAGACCTACAACCAAGATTGCTCTATCCAGCAAAACTTTCATTTAGAATGGAAGGACAGATAAGGTGCTTCTCAGATAAGATCAAATTCAAGGAGTTCATCATCACCAAGCCCTTATTCTATGAAATGTTAAAGGGACTTATCTAAGAAAAAGAAGTTAAAGAAACATGAACAGTGAAAGGACAACAAACTCACAGTTATTAACAACCACACCTAAAACAAAAGCAAACTAAAAGGACAGCTAGATCAGGAGTGGAAACATAGAAATGAAGACCTCAAGGAGGGTTAGCAACAGGGGAGTGGGAGGAGGAGAAGGGGGAGAAGGTACAGAAAATAAGTAGCATAGACAGTAGATAGAAAATAGAAGGGGGGGGCAAGAATAGCATGGGAAATATAGAATCTAAAGGACTTGAGACACATGGTCATAAACTAAAGGGGGGGTAATGGTGGGGATGGGGGGGTAGGGTGGAGGGGAATGTAAGGGGGAATAGAACAAGTGTAACAGCATGATCAATAAAAAAAATTCACATTTTAAAATCATGAATTTATTAAAATCTGGTTTCTATTAAAAATGAGTTTCCCCCCTGCAAGATACAGGCGTAGAGGCCGGTATGTGGTAGGTGTACTGCCTCCAGCGTGACACATCCTTGGTTCAGAATAGCCTGGCCGAACGGTCAACACACGCTGTCCTGGACAGCTGCTGGGCGTAGGCCTCACTCACATTCTATTTGTCTGAAGAGAAGCAACTGTCTTTTGTGATTTTCAGCTCAACCCGGCATTATTTACAAACGCGGCAGCTGAGATAAGTGCAGTAACTCTGAAAATAATGGCAATAAAACAGAACTCGAGTCTATTCCCCCAAAACTGAGATCTTTTAGGAAGAAACGCCAGAGGCTTAAAATTTGCTTCTCATTAACAAGTAAGCAAACAACAACAACAACAATCACTCCAGCAGCCAAGATAGAGGTTCGAGGAAACAAAAGTTATCCCAACAGAGGTCTCTGAAACGGACACTATTTTCTCACGTTTGACTGACGGGGGTAAGTGAGGGACATATTAAATATTTAAGTTTTGCTTGTTCATTTTAGAAGACAGCCTATGTATACATAAGCTGTGGTCTGTTAATTCAATTTGTTTCTCATTAATAAGTAAGATCAAGCAAATCATATTAAAGCATTAAAAACATTCCCACTTAACTGTGCTGGGAGCTTTAAAGATCCATTAATTCACATCTCAATAAATGACTTGTCCATTCATCTCCTTTTTGTATATTTTTTAATCAATAAGACATTCAGGTGAGTGCATCTTTTTAGACAAATCTTATATATAATAAGATCTTTTAGGACTTCAACATTAATTTCTTAGTTTTATCAACATATAATCGATATGTAAGATATTAACAGAGAATACCAATTGAAAGGTGCATGGGAATAACCTTTATAAATTTTGCTCCAAAAATACATCTCTTCATAAGAGGTATTTAAAGAATATCTCTTCTTTAAATCTAAATTTATTTAAAAATCAAGAGTGAACTAATATAAAGGAATTAGCTGTTCGGAGCTGGAGGTGACCTGGCTGTTCACAGATGTCAGGCTCAAGGCCACAGGGTGGGTTTGCAGTAGGTCCCTGACATGCAGCTTCAGTGCCTCTCCCCTCCACCAGGCTGCCACCGAGGAGCACCTGCCTCCTCTTCACCTGGACAGTTCCCTCAGTGCTACTGCTGGTACAACTTCAGGAAGCTCCCTTAGGAGACTCTACTTCCCTAAGACCAGAAGACACACTAAACATGAATGACCTGGGTTAGTAAAACCAATCCAACCGTAAAGCCAGAGGCCATAAGAGTCAGTCACCAAGTTCATTACCTATTTACTCAATAGCCAAGGTCAATTCCAATCAATAGCAGAGAGTATGGTGTGGCATCATGAAATGACAGATGTGAAACATTCACAGACGCACTGATCTAGACGAATCAATCAACCACATTTCATTATCCTTTCAGCTGGTCAGAGATTCTCCCACAACATACCATTAACAAAAAAACTCCAAAAGGATGAAGAAGCTAATGATCACATCCTAGGCTCCTGACTCAGTTCAGGTTATCAAGAATCACTACGATTTGTATGGGTGCAAACAAAAGGCCAGTTTTAAAATCACATATTAAAATCTTTTTATGCTCCCTAGCAGAACATTTTATTTCTATGCAGTTTTAGAATAAGCAATGAAAATGTAGCAAATGCCTGAAGTCCTTACATTGTTGCACTGACTGAGAAGATTTACCTGTGACTGGGTTTCGAGTAGGTTGCACGCAGAGGGTGGCGGTGTGTCTATGGCGCTATGTGGGCAAGGACTCTGCTCTGTGTCCTTCCGAGTCTGGGTTCTAAAGTGGGCAGTTTCTTGAAGAGTTTCTCTGTGTTTGATGTGGGCTGGGTTTGTTTTCCACTACAGAAGATTACGTTTTCTGTCTAAAGTCAAGTTAGCCTACATTCATTACGCTTATATTTCTCAAGTCTTCCAGTTAATGGAGAGCTTGTTACCTAACCCCCTTCCCCTCCCCCCCCCAAAACATTCTGTCTCATATTTAGAGTTCAGCTTCTTCTAGTCAGCCCTCATCTTTGGGATGATCAGCACTAATTACTGACTAGTTCTGTAAAAATAAAGTAAAATAAAATAAAATAAAGTAATGCTGCTCCTAAGGAAGACTGAAAAGCAAGGGACACAGGCCACCGTGACTTGTTTGGGAAGAGCTATGGCATCAGAGCATGAGGAGTCACTGTGCTCCCCGAGAGCAAATTCCAAGCCCTGAAACGGGGCTCTCCTTGGGTGGATTTGCTGGGACGATTCCACCTTTAGTGCCGGATATGGAACGTTGCACCCCACTGACATGGGTACACAGGTGCCTTCTGCACACCTGGAAGCACTGACCAAACAGTTACTCCAGTAGAATGTAAAACCTTGCAGGGTGGTGTATAATCTTCAAGACACAGCCCACTGTACATGGGATTTTGCTAAGAACAGGTTCTCATTCCCCACCAACTAGCTTCTTCCTTTGGCCCGATTTATTTCTCTATATTCATAAAGACTGACAGGCTTTGCAAGAATGCTCTGGGTTTTGTAATGAGGTGAGAATGTGTTTTTGTTTAAGGAAACACAAGCTGCCACGTGGCCATTGCTGCTTTAAGATAAAAGAGTTCTTAGGATGACACTGTGAAAGAGCAGGTATGAGTTGTGTAATACAAGTACATTTGCTCATGGTTGACATCTTTACACAATGCTTATTCCATGCTAGCTATGATGATCTGGGATTGGTGTTAGCTAAAAAAACTATGAGAAATGAGGAAAGCCAGCATTCACTGAATTCTTCATGGCTACACATGTACGGTCAACATTAAAAGTTATATTGGTATCATCATACCATTTTTTATGTTTCTTCCTGGGAGCTGGGGATGGTCCTTTGGTGGCAGGATTGGTTTTTAGGTCTTATCTCTGTCCCTGTCAATTGGTCTGTCTGTCTATTGTTCTTTTTTGTTCTCTACAGCTGCTGGTGGTGAGTGCACAGCATCTCAGCCCTTTTCTGCCAAGGGCAGCACACGCATGGGGACCTGAAGATTTCCACCAGCACGCAGAATACCTCCCAAGGGTGTTTGAACACCGTGTCATCCCAGGGAATGGGGGAGCTTGTTACATAGAAAAAAATAAATCTGCATTGCATTTAGAATTCAGCCTCTCTTAGATACCAGTTTTCTTTGGGCTGATCAACTCCAGTTGCTGACTAGTTCTCTAACTGGATAGGTTTTTGGTACCACAACATACGGCAAGAAACAAACACTGCAACACCACAAAGCCTAGATCTCGCAGTTCCAAGGCAGACAACCTCTTGCTCCAAACCGTTGATTTTAAGTCCTCAGAGAAAATTTTCTCTTGGTGGCAGCTTATCTTCACATCCTTTCTAACCTCTCCCCGTTTACATATGCATGTACTGTTCATTACACGGATTCAGAATGGATCGTCAGTCAGTTGCACAGAAAAAAACAAACAGCCACTAGTAACACAGAGTCAAAGGCTTACCTTAGCTCCTTGAAGGGGTCTGCCCTGACGTTAGGGGTCTCTATGGATTTAGGGAACACGGTGCCCTCTGCTCCTGCAAACAAAAGAAAGAAGCAACAGAGGTTGGAGAATGTCGGATGTGACACCTGGGGGCACAATCAGCTAAATGCAGCGAATCCTTTATGCAAACCAGTCCACACATGTTTTGTCACTGGCTCTAGGGCTCTGTAATAGGAAAGCATTGAATCGACTCATGCACACAGCCTTTGAAAAAATAAGGAACTTCTTTTGAAAATGTTCCTGCTGAGATCAGAGTGAGGCCAGGAGGCAAATTCCATGTTGGCTTAAAAAAAAAAAAAGATGCCTAGAAATGACTTTGGTTTCTCATAAACTTGTAACAGTCTCCCAACTGGAAATGTATGAAGACACAGCAGCTGAGCCCTCTGACTGCATCTGGGGGCGGCTCCTATGCAGCAACATCTCGAAAACTAGGCAGAGGTGGAAATGGTAGATGGTAGAAAACACTGTTAAGGCTGGAAGCTCTGTGTCTGGTGACAACTAAGCAGAAGTAAATAAAGTTTGACACTATTTCCTTGAAAAGTTAAACAAAACAGTGTGCGAGATCATTTGAAGTTCGGTGCTTTTACACTTGGAGTATTAACATTGATTCAACCCAGTCCAGACATTTAGCGGTTGACTTTGCTATAAGCTTTTATCTTCACAACTTGTCAACTCCAGCTAAACCTTTCTCACTATAAAGATTGTGATTATTTGATTTGTCTGCTCCCAAAGTGTTTTCAATTCATTTAAGCCTCAGTTTATCACAGACAATTGCACTGGATATTAGCTTTTCAATTAAATGTAGCTAGGCAATATCCTGTACTTTGATGTAAAGGTGTTTATTTTTATACATTGGGTACAGTTCTTTGATGCTGTGAGAAGGGGCAGAATAATAATACCTTGCATTCACGGGTGAATTTCTAGAATCTTCTTGCCTTGTTATAATGTCTAAAAATCTCCATTAACCATTGTTATTCTAAATCTAGATTTATTCTGACACACTGATGAGTCTAGGAAGATGAATTGGTTTCTTTACTTTTGTAGCATCTGTAGAAATATCTAATCTTTCTGATATGAGTCAAAGATTATTACAAGTAACATAAAAAATGATGCCTTGATTTAACATTATATATAATCATTGGAAGAATACCCTGGTGAACAATAACTGTTATTCTAAGTGAACATTTTGCAGGACTACTACATGCTAGACAGCATAATATATATTTCAGACACAGTGGCTTATTTTGTTCCCTTCGGTGCCCCATAATATTGACAGTTGCAGGAGGTACAGAAACATTTAGGGTGAGGACCTCGGACACCTTTCTCTACTTGCAGGCAGTTCCACTTTTCAGGGCCCCAAACCACATCATTTCAAACTTATCTGAATGTACCCACAACCCCATTAAAATATAACCTTTTTTATGTAAGGTTTTATGGATGTTCATTGTTTTATTATGCATACACAGTTTATTTTGCTCTTGTGGTTTGAACTTAATGGTGTTCTTTATAATGTGGCAGATCATCTAATGAGTCTACTCGACTGGACCAGAGGCTGCCCAGATATCTGGCCGATCGCTACTTCTGGTTTCCAGATGGGATTAGCATGGGAACTGCTAGACCCCGAGAAGCTGTTCGCCCCTCCAATGTGAGTAGCACCATCCTCCCTGTTGGTGGTTTGAATGGCATAAGGTGCAGGAAGGAAGAGCTTAGCCCTTCCTGCGTGACTGCTTGAGCTGCGACATCTGTCCCCTGCTCTCACCGCTCCTGGGTGTCAGGCGCCAGGCCTGGGCTGGACTCTCCATCAGCAGCTCCCCCGTTCTCAGGCATTTGGAGTCAGCCTTCACTACGCCACCAACCCTTCTAGCTCTCAGACTACAGGCAGCAGACCATGGGGCCTCTCAACCTCGGTAACTGTGTGAGCCAACTTCGCCCACTGATTCTTCCTCTGTATAGATCTCATTGGTTCTGTTCCTCTGGAGAACGCTGACTAACACAATTACTGAGTAAGAACGGCTGCATTATAGATGACAGGGTAGTTTTTGTTACGTGTGCGTGGAATTCGGGTGTGCATAGTATATATTCCCCATTGCCTACATTTTTGTGATCCTTTGAACCACCTGAGGCCAAAGGCACTGTAGCAGCTACCCCCTGGATGAGAAGGGGCCTGCAGAAGTCATGGGACAATGAGTGACACACTGGGAGGTGGCTCTAGACTGCGTGGCACCCAAGAGCATGCCCTCAGCCACCCCTCAGTCCCAACTCCAATCTGTTACTGTCACTATTGCAGTTTACCAGATGGCTTTCCCTTTGACATCCTTGGAGATGCTTGGCTGTTAGTCATTTGAACCCTATTTTAAAAATATAATTAAAAGGAGCAATTATCTATCTCACTAAGGCAAGGACAGTTATTTCTGTTAATTTATATTGTCTGTCCTCTTTAGTCCCAACTCAAATCTCCCTGCGCTTTACCCAGAATTCTATGAAAATGTCCCTATAAAGAGCACTGCTGCTTTTCAAAGCGGCCACAATGGTCTGACTTATCTGTGTGGCAACTGGTCCCGTCCAGGGACACCTCTGTTATTTAAACTGTTACTGGAATGCTGTCAGGCTTAATGTTTCACCTGTCTCATCCCCACCCTATCATCCTTTCACAAGGCCTTTGTGGCTGAAGAATACTTATTTGGCAACTCTTGACTATGCCAAGTATATGCATGCCACGGAGTACATATCACATTTATTCTGACCAATTACTCAAAAATGAGGGATGACATGTTCTTATGTGAAAGGAATCTCAAAAGCCCGGGGCGTTTTCTTTATCCAACCCAGACTTTGTACCACCCAGTGTGTTTCTACATTTGTCAGATCTGACGACAAAGCCTCATCTGCGACCTTCCTTCTTACAGCGGGTCATACCACGCTCCTGAAGGAGTGACTCCACTGCAGCAGGGGGCCCTCAGCTCTGCCACCCCTCGGAAGCAATGTCAAGAAGAGAATAAAGATATAATAAAGCAGCCCTGCACATTACAGCTGCTCACTCCACGTCTGTGGAAAGAGCGTGGTCTCCTCTGAACATCCAGCCTTGGGTGCCCAGGTTTCCGTGACCACGTCTGCTGTGCTCCCCGCTGAGAACGTGCCCTGTTCTCTGTCATGTCCCCATTGTCTAGCACAGTGTAGCACTCAACAGATGTCTGTAAAGTGACCACACAACTCATTTGGTACTGAACATACACTACCTGGGGCTTTTATTTTCCTTGCAGACACTCATTTAATTTCTTCAACTAGATCTTAAGCTCTGTGCAGCCAGGGACAAGGTCAAGGAAGAATACAGTCAGATTCAACTACAGGTTCTCAAGGCTTCTAATGGACTCATTTCCAGTTGTTACCACTATTTCTATAAGAGTACTAAGTTACTGTTATAAATAAATAAATAAATAAATGCATTACATTTTAAATAAATGTCCAAAATCACAATCTAACATGTTTTAACTGTATCTTTAAAATAAAAAAAACATGCTAATAAAAAATTATGGAGCTAAATACTTATCGCTCTAAAGTAGAATGCCATCAAAAGGCTTATGGTCTCTTTCTTAGACCAAAGAACCTGCTTATCTTATAGTAAGGAGATTGGGGATAAAACCATGTGGGGCCCCAGGTTGCACGGCCAGTGAGTGCTAGAGCTGAGAGTCATCCAGCTGATGAACCCACTGTTAGCCACCGAACCCTAGCGCCCTGCTTTCTCAAATCCAGGCCACTGAGGTACTTGCTAAATGGCCAACCAGCAGAAACCAGAAGGACAGGGTTCTGACAGGTAGAGGAGGTGGGTGATTGACAGGCTCTGTATATGAAATGGAAATGAAGGGTGAGAGGCTCACGCAGTCATAGTGCCCATCATCCAACCTCATGCCCTTTCGTTTTGTCTTTGCTGGACTTTGGACAGGGGAAGACATGTCCCATACATACTGAAGGACAGGTACACGGATGTCTTCTCAGGGGAAGGTGGCAGAATCTCTCATGAGACAAGTGACCTTGAGCATAAAACCCAATCTCTCTGATGGTCAGTTTCCTTCCCTAAAACAAGAGAGATTGATAGCACCCTCATCTCTAGGGGTCCGGAATAATGAGATCTGTGGCATGTAGCAATCAGCAGATGATAAGTTAATAGAATAATATTACAAGTACCAAAATGTTTATGAACGCTAATCATTCCTTCTCTTTCCAGGTACTACACGACTCTTTAAAAAATAACATTTTTTACCCTGGCTGGCGTAGCTCAGTGGATTGAGCGTGGGCCTGCGAACCAGAGTATCGCGGTTCGGTTCCCAGTCAGGGCACATGCCTGGGTTGCAGGCCAGTTCCCGGCAGGGGACACATGAGAGGCAACCACACATTGATGTTTCTCTCCCTCTCTCCTTCCCTTCCCCTCTCTCGAAAAATAAAGAAAATATTAAAAAAAATAAATAACATTTTTAAAGCACTTACTATGAAGTAGAAAGTACTGAAACTGTTTTCATTTGATCATTGGAATAACCCTGTGAGATAGGGGCCATCAGTATCTGTGACTCAGAGCAGTCAGGAAATTTCCTATGGTCACAGAGCAAAGAGGGGGATCCAGGACTTGAGGATCCTGGACCAGGATATTTCAGCTCTGGAATGGGTGCCCTTGACCACTTTGCCACACTGTGTTTTTCAGCAGATTAAGTTACTCTCTACTTGCTCGTCTTTTTATGAGATATGGACACCTACCAAAATGTTTACGCCCTCCAGTAATATTTACTACCCCCCCCATCACTGCCCTTCTAAAAACAATCTCCATGTACAACGAGACGAGTTAATGATACTTTTCCGAGAGCCCATTTCTTTCCAAGCACTATCTGGTTCCTGATTCTTACACCATTTTTCACTTTCCCAGAAGCTGCGAAGTTAACTATCCATCAGAATGAATTCCCCTATCCCATCTTCTGGCCATTCTTGGATAATAAATTATTCTCAATTTTATTATTTCAAAAGGTTTCTATCAAAGCCATACCTACCGAT